TTTACGGATGCAATCAATACCCCCTATGCATGCATTTCAACAATTCACTAATTGAAGGTTAAGGGTGCTAGAGAAGTGCCGCTGACCTACCAGGAGCTTGTAGAAAGTGTTAACTGATTTTACATATTTTGTTAGTTTGTTAAGTTTGTTAGATATTAGTTATTGAGTTAGTTACAGGAAATTGTTTATATAAAGGACCTATTTGTTGTAATTGAAAGTTAGAGGAATAAAATATAATTCAGCCCACTTTTAAGTTTTAACATGGTATCAGTTTAGCCCAGGCTATTCTTGGGCCGTCCTCACTCTTCCCGTGTCTTCCTTCAACCCATAATCCTTTCTTCTCGATTAGGTCTTGCTTTGTGCGATTTTCTTCAACGAGATGGATACTCCTGACACCGCTGCTACCACCGCCGTGCTCGACTTCAAGTTGGCATCGACAATTACAACATCTGGAGCCGATCTATGAGAATCGCGTTGCTGGCTTAAGAACAAGTTAGGTATCGTTGATGGCACTTGCTGCAAAGAAGATTACGATGAAATTTTGCACTCTCAATGGCAACGCTATACTACGTTTGTTTCGTCCTAGATTCTCAGCACAGTGAGCAGCGATCTCTCGGCTGGAATCGTGTTTGCTTCAAGCGCTGCTCATGTCTGGAATGATTTGAAGGAGCGATTCGACAAGGTAGATGGATCCATAATTTATCTTCTTCATCGTGAAATTGTTACTCTACATCAAGGTGATTCAATAGTTTCCACTTACTTTACCAAATTGAAATTGCTGTGGGATGAATATCATGCCCTAGTTCCTCTTTCAGCCTGTAATTGCGAGGCATCTCAGCAAAATTCTAAACATATTACCCAACAGAAGCTGTTGCAATTTCTTATGGGCCTTAATGATACTTACTCGGCTGTTCGTAGTCAAGTTCTACTTATGCAGCCTCTACCGACCGTGAATCAAGCATACTCAATGATTGTGCAAGAAGAAGCACAACGAGCTCATCTATCTGGTGTTTCGGGTGCTACTGCCATGTACTCTAATGCGTCTGGAAATTATGATCGAAGGTAATTCACTGGCGTTTGTGATTAATGCAAAATAAAAGGCCATAAGCGAGACAACTGATATCGTTTAATCGAGTTTCCTCCAGACTTCAAATTCAACAAGAGGAATTCTCAGGCAGCTCTTGTTACTAGTCCCTCATTGGCTGATTCCGATCATGAGTCCCGTTCTGGTGAATCAAGCACGATTAATCCTGCTCCAGTTTTCACAACAGCTCAATATCATCAAATTCTTGAACTCTTGAATAAAACTCCCTCGGTTGATGCAGCAGTCAACCTGGCAGTATTGCTTCTATGTGCTCACCTACTTCTTCTAATTCCTTTTGTTGGATACTAGATACAGGGGTGTCTGAAATCTATTGTTTGCAATCTCTAACTTCATGTGAGCCTAGTTCTGTCCAATTGCCTACTGGTAAAACTGATCCAATCACCCATACTGGTAGTTTTCATTTTAACTCAGTTGATGTTATTCCAAATGTGTTGTATGTTCCTAATTTTAATCATAACCTGTTGTCAATGTCAAAACTCACTAAAGACCTCAACTGCAGTATTGTTTTTTACCCTCATTTATGCATGTTGCAGGATCTCTATTTGTTTAATTCTCAAGACCTTGTTTCTGGTTTGTCCTCTACAAATGTTACTTCTGATTTGTTATCTTCTAAATGCAAAGTTGGTTCTGGTTGTATGTCTGTTTCATCTAATAATAATACAATGCTTTGGCATGCACGTTTAGGGCATGCCACTTCTGTTAAAATGCATAAAACTCCTTTTTTGTGTTTTGTTCCGTTAAATGAAAACTCTGTTAAGCAATATTTTGTATGCCTTCTTGCAAAACAATCTAGATTACCCTTTCATATTAGTTCATCTAGGTCACTTAAACCCTTTGATCTAATTCATGTTGACTTGTGGGGTCCACATAGAATTTCAACACACAGTGGTCATAGATCTTTTTTGACTATTGTAGATGATCACACTAGGTTGTCTTGGGTTTACTTGTTGAGATTTAAGAGTGATGCAATTCTCTTTCTTAAACAATTTTTTACTCTTGTTCAAACTCATCATTCTTCTTTAGTTAAGTATGTTCGTAGTGATAATGGTGGTGAATTTTTTAGTGAAAATTGTTCTGAACTCTTCTCATCCCTTGGTATTATTCACCAAAGCTCCTGTGTTCACACACCCCAACAAAATGGGGTCGCTGAACGAAAACACAAATATCTTTTAAAGGTAGCTCGTGCTCTTAGATTCTATTCTCATGTTCCTATCAAATTTTGGGGCGAGTGTGTCTTAACAGTCTGTTATATCATTAACAGGCTCCCTACTACTGTTTTAGACTGGAAAAGTCCATTTGAAGCTTTCTATAAAAAATCACCTAATCTTTCTCATATGAAAGTATTTGGTTGTCTTTACTATGCAACCAAAGTTAACTATAAAGATAAATTTTCTCCAAAGGCCTTACATTCAGTTTTTTATGGGTTATTCATCAACTCAAAAGGGCTATCTTCTTTTTGATCTTCATACAAAATCTTTTTTTGTAAATCGTGATGTAGTCTTTCATGAGACTATCTTTCCTTTCTCATTTCCATTAACTAATCCTTCCCCTTTTTTTCCTACTCAGCCTTTCATTGATGATTCTGATTTTCTTACTCTCGAAATTTATGCACCATCTAATCCAGTAAATTCTGCTTCACCTACTCTATCTTCTCCTCCTCCTCCTCCTTCTTCTTCTTATTCTTCTGCATCACCTCAAGTTTCAACTAGTTTACCAATTCCATCTTCAAGTCCATGTTCTAGTTCACTTCATCTACCTCAAAATTAATGTTTACCTCAAAGAAGGTCTACTAGGACTATCAAACCTCCTAATTGGCTACATGACTATGTTCAATCCTACCAATCTTCATCTCTTCCAAGTAAGTATCCCATTTCCAATTTCATTTGTTATTCTCACTTACGTTATAAAACTCAAAGTTTCTTATCTTCTACTTCTCATTTAAGTGAACCAAAAACATATTTTGAAGCCATCACCAACCCTTTGTGGATCCAAGCAATGAAGGAAGAGATTGATGCTTTGGAATCAAACAACACTTGGTCTATAGTTACTCTGCCTTCAGGGAAAGTTCCAATAGGTTGTAAGTGGGTAAACAGAATCAAGTACAAGGCTAATGGAGGTGTTGAGTGTTTCAAAGCTCGCCTTGTTGCTAAAGGATTCAATCAAAGAGAAGGAGTTAACTTTGTGGATGCCTTCTCTTCAGTTGCTAAACTAGTCATTGTTCAAACTGTTCTTGCTGTTGCCTCCATCTTTTCTTGGCCTCTCTATCAAATGGATGTGTACAATGGCTTCCTACAAGGTGACTTAGTTGAGGAAGTCTATATGGCACTTCCTGATGGTTTTTGCAGTCAAGGGAGTCTAAGGTTGGTAGGCTGCATAAATCACTTTATGGACTGAAGCAAGCCTCCAGGCAATGGAATTTGAAGCTATCAGAAGCATTACTTACAGCTGGTTACATGTAGAGCAAGTATGCTTATTCAATGTTCACTAAGCAACAAGGGAGTGACATTGTTGTTTTATTGGTATACGTTGATGATCTTTTAATCACTGGGAGTAATGAGAAACTGATAGCAGAACTGAGGCACATTTTGAATAAGAATTTCAAAATAAAAGATCTTGGAGAGTTGAAATACTTTCTAGGATTAGAGGTTCTAAGATCAAAAGAAGGAATTGTGCTAAATCAAAGAAACTATGCTCTAGAGTTAATTGAAGAAACTAGAGCAGGGGGAGCTAAACCAGCTTTGACACCTCTTGAGCAGAACAAGAAGTTTACTACAGCTGAGTATGATGAAGCAGTTTGTAGCAATGAACAACTGTTGCAAGACAAATATGTTTTTCAGAGACTTATAGGTAGACTAATATATCCGACTCACACAAGGCCAAATGTTGTCTATGCTGTACATTTCCTCAGTCAGATCATGCATAAACCAAAACAATCACATCTTGAAGGTGCATTGAGAGTGGTAAAATACATCAAGAAAAATCCAGGACAGGGGATTTTATTAAGTGCTGCGAGTAAGTGCAGGTTATTTGCCTATTGTGATTCTGACTGGGCTGCTTGTCCTATGACTAGAAGGTCTATAACTGGTTTCTGTATCAAGCTTGGAATGTCTCTAATTTCTTGGAAGTCTAAGAAGCAAAACACTGTTGCACGCTCTTCTGCAGAAGCAGGATATAGAAGCATGGCAGGGACGGCTGTAGAAATAGTATGGCTGAAGGGTTTGTTGGCTGAATTGGGCTTGAAAAATATAGCACCAGCTAAGCTAATGTGTGATAGTAAAGCAGCCTTGCAAATAGCAGCTAATCCAGTTTTCCATGAGAGAACTAAACACATTGAGATAGACTGTCATTTTGTCAGAGAAAAGATTCAAGAAGGCTTGATACAAACAGAACACATCAAGACAGGGGAGCAACAAGCATATTTAATGACTAAAGCCTTAGGTGTACATCAACATGAATATCTAGTTTCCAAGTTGGGGTTTAAAGACATCTTTACAACCACCAACTTGAAGGGGAGTGTAGAAAGTGTTAACTGATTTTACATATTCTGTTAGTTTGTTAAGTTTGTTAGATATCAGTTATTGAGGAAATTGTTTATATAAAGGACCTATTTGTTGTAATTGAAAGTTAGAGGAATAAAATATAATTCTGCCCAGTTTTCAGTTTTAACAGAGCTGTGGCAACCCAAGTTCGATTATTTTATCAATAAACAGCTGGTTGACGACATGAATCCATGGTGGTCTTAGCTCCTTTCACAAGAAAGCAATGAGAGAGAATGAGGCAACTTGTGATAAACATCTTAAGAGTTATTGTAACAAAGCCGACATGCATGGATGTTTTGTGCAACAAAGTACATGATCAGATCAGAGGCAATGCATGTGCAGAGAATACTGTTTTGTTATCTAATTAGTTTCCTAGTTGTTGGTCGAATTTGAGCTACTGGATCCCCACTGGCCTTCCACAGCCAGATATCATATGTGAAGCTATGAAGAGACCAGAGATGATTCTGTTACAAATATGAGCATTTCCTCATGACACTGATAAATGTTAAAACTAAGGCGAAGAGAACAAACTTACTGTACATGATTACTGAATCGCCTTTTCACCGACGACACAATAACAGTCACATCATCAAGCTTTCCACCCCTATATCCCACATACCCAGCTGCCTGCACTTCATCTGATATTGGACTCCTAACCAATGATAACCGTCCAACCTCTTGCGCTCTAGTTGCCAAGAGTTCTGCTATTTCCTGCCCATGAAAGAAATGTGGGGTTACCATGTACATAGACTATATTTTATTATTTTGCATATGCAACTTATGCATTTTACTACTATATGAGGGAAAGGAGATGGAAATGAAAAAACAGTGATAAGCACCTGGGGCCTCAGATTCTCTTTCAATGATTTGAAGACAATTGAAGCTATATCTTTCTCATAGAGATTGTCAAAAAGTCCATCAGTTGCAGTGATAATAACATCATCTTCATCCAAGTCAATTTTGTAAACCTGCAAGAAATCAGCAGCCATGTGTAAAAAGATCGACCATATTATTTTACCTTCACTTCCTAATTTAAATGAAACTCAATATCTGTTTGCAGAAGATACAGTGTTGCTCAAATCAGCGATTCAAAGTGCAGGAGACAATTACGAATATATTTTATCTTTCTATGTAATAGTATAATATATATAACTCTTATTAGAAATGGAATTCAAACAGTATACCTCCACAAAGTCAGAGGGATAATCTCCTCTTTCGATTTGTACAGGAAAATTCAATTCATAAAGCATTGGGGAAGACCTTTTAAATACAGCACCATTTCTTACGATCATGAAGCCTGAATCGCCAATATTGGCCACATGGAGAGCCTGCAGATCCATAGAGGCATAGCCTTCCAGGTAAAAGTTGTAGAAAGGAACACCTAGTTCATTCTCAGCACTGATTTATTTATTTATTTTCTTGATTAATATTAGATCAAACATTATATCACTGAGAAAATAAATATATTCATTCCAACAAAGTAGATTGACTGGCTAACATTAGCATCAGTTGTCAGCCTATGCATATTTTGACCAACAACAGTTTTACAAATCATAAGACACGCAAGATACATTTCAGTGTATGCAGGAGCATTATGAACTTCTGGAAATATGTGGTCTTTAGATCCAGTACCAATATGAACAACTCTGTTTCAATCACACGAGTGAACACACTCTATCACTTAAATATGAATAATTCTTTTTTTTTTTTGTATATTATAAGAAATATTCTCAAGTACAGAAAACAATGTTTTGAAAAAACAATCATTCATGCAAATGAGACTCCAACTAAGAAATTGAAAATATTTTGTTAATTCATTAACCTTTTACTTCACACAGACAAGAAGTTCAAAGAAAAAAGATGAGCAATTAAGTTTCATCAAATGAAAAGTCTCTATATTAAGTTACCACTTACCATTCCTCCCTTGAAATTAAAAAGGTTTCCTTATATTTCTGACTCAAGGAATAGTAGTAAAATCCTAGATTTGGTAGACCTTGGTTTCCAATTGTGAGTCTAGTTTGATTAGGATTAGGTTGTAAGTTATTTCATTGATACAATGACTAAATGAAATTTGCATAGGAGAAAAGCTTGTCAAGTTTAATGACCACATACTCTATCATCAAAGTAAGCAACCAAAACAGTAGATGAACCACGAGTTTGAGTATTCACAGCAGCTCTATTAAGGACCTCAACTGGGTCAGTTATTTGATTCGGAACTCCATTTCTATCACACACAATTCTTTCACAGTTTTCCATAAGTTCTTTTGCAAATACTCCAACACTAATCCCTGAAGAATAAGATAGGAAACAAATAATTCAGTCCAAACATTGCAAAACAATTCTTTCACGGTTTGCAGTGCAAGGAAAAAAATGCAACAAGAATTGGTTCTGCTGAAAACAAAAAACGGGATAGCTAAAGAGAATGGTACCTTCAAGTGACCACTGACCAACTCCATCAGCAACACCTAGCCAGTTCTGGCGGGCGATAAAATAAGCATCCTCTCCACCTGCGAAGGCCTGGAATTATTACTTTTCATATTACTCAAACGGAATTCTCAAACTCAAGTCAAACATACATCAAAGTGCCCAAGCAACTGATGTCTTTTAAAATTCATTTTAACGATAGTGTTGTTACTTTTACTGTTTTAGATCCAAAGTTCATAAAGTTACTCTCACTAATGTGTAAGAGTTGCATTTTTAGCATTATATTGATCTGCCATGTTAAAATGTCAAACTAGCAAAATCTGATTGTAAACTTAACAGAGAATTTTGATTTGTTCTTTTATCCAATTTGAAAATAATTTACTAATCGTAATATTGGAAAATTAAAACAATTAATTGAAAAGGTGTCATTGATTATGGCCATCCTTAAGTACCTTAGTTGGATTTGGCAATAGAGCAGCACCGGAATATAAGAAAAATCCTGCTGTTGGCATTTCCTCCCTGTTTGGATACATTTATAAAAACAAACATGAGGACGTAAGAAGCGAAAAAGTGATTCACATACTGACCCAGCTTATCATCTTTAATCTGGTATGTTAGTATCAACTCACTGCAAATACAATATCGATATAAAAAGGGAAAAAAGACCATAATATAAAGTTCAGCAATCGCTGATCCCCACTCCCCAAAAACCCCAGCCATTTTTTGGGCATGGGAAATAATGTTTGTTGTTTCCTCACAATTTTCATAAAAGGGTGAAAGATCAATCAATTATTTTAAAATGTAAATCATAAGAAACAACAACAATCTGGCTAAAAGACAAGGGTGAAAAATCAATCAATTGCGTATTAGTATTTTTACTGATAGGAAGAACTAATGCATCAATCTATGAGACAGATAGAAAACTCTTTGTGCATTTGTTTGACAATGGAGTAATTTACCTTTCCAAAGTTGGTCCACTTGACTGTAATTCTACACCTTTAAGCATTGTCACTCTGACTTTGTTATCACTTAGTGCATCAGCCTCAGTTGTCTCTTCTTTGGGAAATGAGAAAGGCATGGCCTCATCTGACTGAAAATAACAAATATACAAAGAACTTCAGGCAAATTGACTTGATAGCGCAAATAACTCCAGATCCTCAATGCGTGAGTTCTTTGTGATGGTAACGCAATAGGCTTCCAAATAAAGTATTCTATTGACAATAAGTGGTGATGACATGCTTAGGCAGGCAGCATTTGAAAATTAGGAGGGAGGAACCATATTTAAAGCTCAATATATTTTTTAAAGGTATTCTAGATTTCTGGAGCTTAATAAAGCTTCAAACTCTGAAGAATATAAAATATGTTACCAATATGTCATGCTCATGAGAAGTCCACAATTTAAAAGAAATTGCTCAGAAAACTAAACACAAACATGCCTAAACCTTGTATTGAAACTCAACGTTAGATGATTAAATCCTAAATTTATTTGCATTGCTTTGCAGATAATAACAGAAGAACTTCCCTAGCAACTAGACAGCCAGAATATTTATGTTAATGCACCAATGTCATCATCTTTTATCATTTTTAAACTCATATTTTACGTTTGAATCTTGGGCTAGTTACACAAAAGAAGGATCCTTACTATGATATTCTTTCGGCCTTAGTCTTTACAGTTCTGATGGCATCAAAAAGCAACATGAAGTATGATGATTAATTTCTATGTAATATTATTTGAACTGGGAGAAGAGGGAAAACCATTCAAAATCGCATCAATTCTTTCATTATTTATAGTATTACATTTATACATTGTTCACTGGGATATCCAAATTGAATATAAACACCCAAATTGAATATAAGGAAAAATAGAGAACTGACCGTTTTTGAGCTCTTGATTATGTCACTATCAACAGATTTATTCACTGTTTTATGGACTGTAGCCTCTTTGAAAACTGAATCCACCTCGGGTAAAGGAGTAGATTGAATTGCAATTTCACTTTCAATACTAGTTTCAGAAGCTGTCAATTGAGCAGAAACCTCTTCCACGGCTAAATCCATATTTGGTTCTGTATTCAAAGTAGCAACCTCAATCTTACCAATTCTCTCACCTTTTTCCTCAGCGCCACTATTTTCTTCCTCCTCCTCCAGCTTAACACTGTGAGGAACTTCGCTTTTGGAACTAGACTCTGAAGCAGCTAAATCAGTTCTAATTTCTCTTTCAATAGCAGGAGCTGCCAATGGAGGGGAAACCTTTTCTATCTTAGAATCCATATCTGAAGTAGTGCCCTCAATTTTTCCAATTCCCTCTCCACTTTCCTCAGCACCACTGCTTTCTTCCTCCTTCAGCTTAACACTGGAGGGAACTTCGCTTTTGGAACTAGATTCTGAAGCAGCTAATTCATTTCTAATTTCACTTTCAATAGCACGAGCTTCCAGTGGAGGAGAAGCCGGTTCTACATCAGGAACTAAATTTATCTTAGGCTCCTTATTTGAGGTGGTGCCCTCAATTTTACCAACTCTCTCCCCATTTTCCTCAGCACCAGTATTTTCTTCCTCCTCCGGCTTAACATTGTGGGGAACTTTGCTTTTGGAACTAGACTCAGCAGAAGCTAATTCGGTTCTAGCTTCACTTTCAATAGCAGGAGCTGCCAATGGAGGAGCAACCTGTTCTACATCAGGAACTAAATCTATCTTAGACCCTTCCGTATTTGAAGTGGTACCCTCAATTTTACCAATTATCTCTCCGTTTTCCTCGGCACTGGTTTTTCCTTCCTCCTCCAACTTAACACTGTGGGAAACTTCGCTTTTGGAACTAGACTCTGGAGAAGCTAATTCAGTCCTAATTTCACTTTCAATTGCAGGAGCTGCCAATGGAGGAGAAGCCTGTCCTACATCAGGGACTAAATTTATCTTAGACTCCATATTTGGAGTGGTACTCTCAGTTTTACCAATTCTCTCCCCATTTTCCTCAGCATCAGTATTTTCTTCCTCCTCCAGCTTAACACCGTGGGGAGCTTTGCTTTTGGAACTAGACTCTAAGGAATCTAGTTCAGTTATAATTTCTGTTTCAGTAGCAGAAGATTCCAGTGGAGGAGAAACCTTCTTTATATCAGGAACGAAACCAATATTTGATACCATATTCAAAGCACTTTCCTCAGTTTTACCATCAATCTCGTCACTTCCCGCAGAACTACCCTTATTTTCTTCTTGGAAGTTAACAGTAACACCATGGGGCACTTCAACTTCGGAATCCAACTCCGGGGAATCTAATTGACTAGTAATTGTACTTTCAACAGCAGAAGCTGCCAATGGAGGAGAAACATTTTCTACATGATGAACTAAATCCTGATCTAATACCACATTCAAATTACTTGAACCCTCATTTTTACAAGTGCCCTGACCATTTCCCCCGGGCACATCATTAGTTTCTATTTTAACAACATCATCTACCTCATCAGATCCCTCTTTAAGATTTATATGGTTAGAAGAATCAACTGATTTTTCTTCACTCTCTCTGTCATCACTGTCCACAGAAGCAGCTCTCTCTTTAACTTCAGTTGCTTTGGTTGCATTTCGTCTTTGTTTTCTCTTAAGTGAAGATTTAACTTGCAAATTACGGCCAACTTTCTTCTTTACATGTTCTACTGCTTCAGCATCGCCATCAGAAACAACAACCGCTTTAAAACTGCTCTCATCTTCCTTGTCCAAATTTTCACGACCAACTTCGGCAACGACCTTAGCACTTTCATCGGTCATTTGAGTTTGATCTTCGATTATTGCCATCTCACTTGCGTCTCCAAACCGGAAGATTACGCTGCCATCAGAACACTCTGCACAGTTCACCAATGTTCACAATTATTATAAAGATTAATGACTAGATTTATTTTAAGTTTCTTTTAGTTGAAAGTCAGTTTTTCTATCTCAAAGTCGCTAAAGAGCAAAAGCGATTTTGTTATTCGCAACAATACTTGAAAGAGATTCAACAAACAAGCAGCGGACTCGATTCATTCAAAAGTAACAAAAAGACAGGAATCAAAGATAAAACAACGTACCGGTTGAGGAAAGGATATCCACGTCAGCAGAAACGGAATCCGAACTGGAGCACTTGGAAACAACGAAGTGGTGATTGAGCTTAGGTTTGGTCGGAGAGAGTCGAAGCGTGTGGCAGTGTAACGGAGGGAAGCGGAAGCGCCAGAAGAGTGATGTTTGATTACAGCAGGGGAAACGACTCATGGAGCGAGATTCGAGAGAGGTGAAGAAGAAGGGATCGGCAGCCATCAGCTGTGATATTTACACAAACATTTTACAAACGCGATCGTTGAACTTGCTTTAGGAGAGTTTTGAAGGCAGCCGAATTGATATTATGGATAAGGAATCTGGTTGCCGGTGATGATCAGAGGTTCAAATCTACTTTCTAACACGTGTCAAAAAATTAAAAGAAAAATCACCACCACAAACTTATATCTGATGCAACAAATGTAGTGCCGAGTTGCTGGATGCTGTTGCGATTTTGGTGGTCAGGATCTTTACTCTTCGTAGACCTGGCACACCCGATAAAATTATAATCATTTAACTTTAAATAATATATTATTTATACCAACCTTCAATTAATTTAATTCTAATATTGAAATGACTGTTCTTTTTTCTCATATGTATGGGGTAAGAGGGAGGTAAGATAGTAGGATTGAATTATGAAATGTCTTCCGTGGAACTCGATCCTACGACCTCAAAGTTAATAATCTTGTGCTCTACCAACTGAGCTGGATGGTCATTTCATAATTCAAATCTAATATTGAACTTTAATTTAAAATTCAATTCTAACATTAAACCTAATTTGGAAACAATGCAATGATGTGAACGACAATTTTATTATCAGTATGATAATGTGTTCAAAAATAATATTTTGATATAATTTTATTAATACCTAAATAATATCGTTTTGGAGGATTATGTAAAACTTTTTATTTTTTATTTTTTCCTTCCTTTTTTTCACATCTCAATTCGCACGAGTTACGACAAAAAAAAATGGTGAACTATGCAATTATATTATAAATTTAGGGATGTTAAATTAGATAACTAATCAAAATTTAAAAACTTTAGGTGTGTGACTGTACCCCAACACCGCTCGATCCATTCCTGTTTACAAAAAGTAGCTAAATTGAAATGTACAAAAGTTTAAGATCAATTTAGAATAAAACTTAAAGTTTGAGATAGAATTTAAAAGTTCAAAAGCCTTGGTATCAATTTAAAATAAGGATAATAGTTTGAAGATTTATGATTAGGGGTGGGCGTTTGATCTAATCGAGTCGATTTGACTAAAAAATTTCGATTTATTTGAGTTTGTTGAGTTAATCGATCGACGAATCGGCCAAGAGTGGGTGAATTGGCAAAAAAAAATTTGGTGGAAGTTTTTACAGAAAATTGAAAATAATTGTACAGCGATTTAGAGTTATTTGACTTTCTCAACCAAAGTCTACGTCCACTACTTTAGCTATCCACACTAAGGATTTTCCAACAAATTCACTAATTTGTTATTTCTTTTGAGGACAAAGAGTAACCTTACAACTCCCTCAAGAATTATACCCCAAATTCTTGAGAACACTCTCTCCCAAAGAGAAATACACAAATTTGCAAACTTATAGAAAACCTCACAAGGTAAGATGTTTGCACAATTCTAGAACAAAGAAAGAACACTTAAAAATAAATACAATTGAGCACAATAAGTGTTCTTGAAAGCAAAATGAATATTGAATGAAAAATAGGCTTGAAATGCTCAAACTTGAGGTTTGATGCTTTCTCTTTGATTCTCTAGCTTCTCTTCTTAATTGTTGTTGATCAATGGCTCCTAAGCTTGTTTAAATACACCTTGGATCACTTCTGAACGTTGGGGAATCATTGGTGAAGTCAATAGAGCCATTATTGTGTAATTATCATTTAAAAATCTGGTGGGAGCGTGAGGTGCATCGATGCATAGCCAAGGTGTATCGGTACACTATGTGTAAAATTCAAATATTTCGACCGTTATAAGACTTAGTGCATCGGTACACTAGGGGTGCATCAATGCACTAATTACATTCGATGTTTCAAACAAGCCAGGAGTATATCGATGCATGGTCTGTGCATCGGTGCATCAAATGCATTCTGTGTTCCAATAAAATTCAGAGTGCATCGATGCATGGCTGTGCATCGGTGCATGGGTGTGCATCGATGCATAAAATGCATTCGAAATGGGGTGTGCGTCGATGCATTATTGAGTGCATCGGTACATCCCTTCATGGAATTGATTTTTGACTCATTTTTTGCTCGAAATACTTTGTGAAAATTGTTTCAAAAATATTTTAAGTTTAAAAACAATTTTACACTTTAGTAAGGATTGAAATTGAACTTTGAAAAACTTGGAGTAATATTTTGATATTCGAATAATTGAATCGAATATACTTTGAAAATGATGTAAAATCTTAAAATTCATTTATACTTAATTTGTTATATCGAAACATCAAAATGTTTAGAGTTTGACAAGTGCTATTTTATAACTCAAACTTAATTTAAAATATTTTTGAGTCGAGTCGAGTAAAGTTTAGTTTTCAAGTTTATACTTCAATTTCATTATACATATTTTTAATATTATGGTATTATTTTTATTCAAATTTAAATAATTTTTATAATCATATACAATACATATATATTTCTTTGTATTGTTTTCAGATATGATATACATATATCATACAAAGTCGAGAGACTTAACTCAAACTTGAAAATCAATACATTAATGTAGACACCCATTTTCTTAAAAGATAGAACTAGCAAGAGTTCATCTCCTAAGAGGACTCTTCCACCACCATATCTTTTAAAGCAACAACCACACCAACAAAAGTGCAACAACCGAGCAAGGAGTCTAGTTGCATTAGGATTCTATTGTTAGTTAGTTTTTTTCACTATAAATACATGTAATCCTTCCCATTTGTAAGACGATTATCATACGGGATTACGCACACACAAAAAAAATACCCAAAGTAAATACGCAAGAAGCCCCAAAGATTCGCTTGTAATTTTCAACAGAGAAATAAAAGAGGTATTTTTACCTATATTACTTCGATTCTCGCTTGCATGTGGCTTGTTTCACTTCTTCTTTTCCGTTTTTACTTTGAAAGGGCCGATGAACACAAGGGAACCGAAATCTTTTCTCTTAGATCTACGCTTCCCCGAGGCTTATTTTGAAAAACCGATTTGATTTTCGGTTAAAGGAGGGGAAGAGCTTTTAAAAAATCTATATTAGTCCCTTTATTTATAAAATAAATATTTTATTCATTTATTTTTATTATTCATGTTATTATTATTATACATATATATATATATATATATATATAATTATTTTCATTTGATTTTTTCACTATATTTTTTTATTATTATTATATATATATATGTTTCTTTAATATTTTACTTATAAGTCTATTATTACTATATATATTGTAATTATTTTTATCTAGTTATATATATATATATATTTTTTATACTTTTAATAGTTTATTTATATACCTATTATTAATATATATATTCTTAATTATTTTTATTTGATTATTTCTTTATTTACGTAATATATCTTATAACTTTATATATATATTATTTTTATTATTATTTTCATTTTTTATTCATTATTATATTATTTTTTTAAAACCTTGTGTCTTTATCATTATTATTATTAAACATTATATTATATATTACTAACCTAGATGACCCATTTTTTTGTTTTATTTCTAACTAAAGTCTCTCCCACTTTCCTCTTTTTGTCTTATTTCTGACTAAAGCCCCCCACTTTCGGTGAAGTGAGAAGGTAGCTTTTCTATTTTTAAATATTTGTTGTATATATATATAGCTTATTTATTTTATTAATAATTTGATGTATATATATATTTTTTTTTCATTTTTCAAATATTACTATATATAGTTATTACTTTACTATTTTTTTCCTTATCTTATTTATTTATTTATTTTATTTTCCCTTTTATTTTATTCTCTTTATCTTATTTGTTTTCTTTACCTTGTTTATCTAATACATTTCTCGATTTTTTTAAGGATATTTTCAAATCAATCTAAGGTAAGTAATTGGGATCGTATTTTTACCTTTTAATTTTAACTTATAATTTTCTTAATTTAAGACAACTGAAAATTACATAGTACCGAAAGGGCAGTTCAAGGGTGCTAACCCTTCCTTGACTGTAACCGACTCCCGAATCCGACACATTTTTGGTAAGACGCAAATCAAGTAAGAAATAAGGTATCCGATCTACCTATTTATCTTAAAATAAAAAATCAGTGGCGACTCCAATCCACATTTTCCTAAGTCGAAGCCCAATTCTGGGGCCCAACCGAAAGACGGTTGCGACAGCTTGGCGACTCCACTGGGGACAGGTAAGTGAGTTAGGCTAAGGTAATTTCCAGTTGTCTTTTTAACGAAAAGGGTAAGTTTAAATTTTAAGGTAATATTTCGATCCTTTTTTACTTACTTTTATTTTCGAGTAAATAGTTGTACTAATCGTTTTCTCATGATTTCAGCCCATAAAGATTGTTTCATCTAAGGCTCTAAGCCCGAACTCCAAACCCGTTTTAAGTGGGGGTGAAAGCCACGCCTTCATGTGAATTTATTCACCGTATGGGCCTAGCAAGTAGCCTTCGGGATTCATATACCTTATGCCTTCGTGTGAATTTATTCTCCGTATGGGCATAAGGAAATGTGTCCTCTCGAGTTTAACTTAGTCCACGCAAGCCTGTGATGGGTTTAGGACTAAGGGTCTGGCAAGCCCAAGGGGGCACCGACAAGGAGAACTCGGGTACTGTTTTTTTAGAACCTAATCCGGGAGACTATGAAGAAATTGAGCCTACCCCGAAACTACATTCCGAAACCTATGACATTTTTTTTCTAACCATGTTATTTTTGTCCATATATTTTATCCTTTACCATTTATTTATTTATTTTTATTTATTTCTATCTTACTAACATTTTTTTTGCCTTTGTGTTTGTTTTTTTAGCATTTGCATCATAACGAGAGTTTATTGATCCCTAAAAACGTGTTTATTAAAACTTAAATAATCTTAATCCATAGACAAAGGTGTTGTAATACAAGAGATTAAAAACCCCGAGGTACGACTATGGTCCGAGAAGACTTAGAAGGAAAATGGAGACAGTCTTCAAGGAAGCTATGTGTCAGAGCTGGTTAGCTACGCATCTATCAGCCTAAAACAGAACAATGTGCAGGAGCTTCGAGACATATGGGACAGCTGGAAGGATGATCGGAAATAGAAGTTCAGCCAACGGTACGGTGACATTGCACTTTTGCTTCATGTTAAGACTGATGAG